AATACTACTCACCTGACTGACAGGGCAGCTGTGGACCAGTGCTGCCTTGGCTGCAGTCTACCATCTAAATTAATCCTTCCCCAACACTACCCATAGTACAGAATAATTACATTTTAGTCATTTAGCAGACGCTCTTATCCAGAGCAACTTACAGTTAGTGAGTGCATACATATTTTTTTTCCGTCATACTGGCCCCCCCATGGGAATCGAACAACAACAACCCTGGCGTTGCAAGTGCCATGCTCTACCAACTGAGCTCCAGGGGACTTTGACTGAAAAGGGTGGAAATCTCCAGATCTGAATGGAAGGAGTGTGTCTAAGCTTTTGTTCCAACCCAGCTCGTACCTGATTACAAATCATAGCCTATCACAGTGATTCGTTATGTTGATGATTTAAGTCAGGTGTTAGAGCTGGGCCGGGACAAAACCCTGCACACACTCCTGCAATGACTGAACTAGACCAAAGCAGGAGAATAGTGTTCCAGGTTGAAACAGCTGACCTCTCCTATCATTGCTACGCAGACGACACACAATTAATCTTCTCCTTTCCCCCTTCTGATAACCAGGTGGCGAATCGCATCTCTGCATGTCTGGCAGACATATCAGTGTGGATGTCGGATCACCACCTCAAGCTGAACCTCGGAAAGACGGAGCTGCTCTTCCTCCCAGGGAAGGACTGCCCGTTCCATGATCTTGCCATCACGGTTGACAACTCCATTGTGTCCTCCTCCCAGAGTGCAAAGAGCCTTGGCGTGACCCTGGACAACACCCTGTCGTTCTCCGCTAACATCAAGGCGGTGACCCGATCCTGTAGGTTCATGCTCTACAACATTTGCAGAGTACGACCCTGCCTTACACAGGAAGCGGCACAGGTCCTAATCCAGGCACTTGTCATCTCCCGTCTGGATTACTGCAACTCGCTGTTGGCTGGCCTCCCTGCCTGTGCCATTAAACCCCTACAACTAATCCAGAACGCTGCAGCCCGTCTGGTGTTCAACCTTCCCAAGTTCTCTCACGTCACCCCGCTCCTCCGCACACTCCACTGGCTTCCAGTTGAAGGTCGCATCTGCTACAAGACCATGGTGCTTGCCTACGGAGCTGTGAGGGGAACGGCACCTCCGTACCTTCAGGTTCTGATTAGACCCTAAACCCAAACGAGGGCATTGCATTCATCCACCTCTGGCCTGCTGGCCCCCCTACCTCTGCGGAAGCACAGTTCCCGCTCAGCCAAGTCAAAGCTATTCGCTGCTCTGGCACCCCAATGGTGGAACAAGCTCCCTCACGACGCCAGGACAGCGGAGTCACTCACCACCTTCCGGAGACACTTGAAACCCCACCTCTTTAAGGAATACCTGGGATAGGATAAATTAATCCTTCTACCCCCCCTTACCCCACCCCCCCCAAAAATAAAATAATAATAATAATAATTGTAAAGTGGTTATCCCACTGGCTATCATAAGGTGAATGCACCAATTTGTAAGTCGCTCTGGATAAGAGCGTCTGCTAAATGACGTAAATATAAAAAAATGTAGTTGAGAGGTGAGGAGACTCAGAATAGTGTTCCAGGTTGAAACAGCTGACATAGTTGAGAGGTGAGGAGACTCAGAATAGTGTTCCAGGTTGAAACAGCTGACCTAGTTGAGAGGTGAGGAGACTCAGAATAGTGTTCCAGGTTGAAACAGCTGACCTAGTTGAGAGGTGCGGAGACTCAGAATAGTGTTCCAGGTTGAAACAGCTGACCTAGTTGAGAGGTGCGGAGACTCAGAATAGTGTTCCAGGTTGAAACAGCTGACCTAGTTGAGAGGTGCGGAGACTCAGAATAGTGTTCCAGGTTGAAACAGCTGACCTAGTTGAGAGGTGCGGAGACTCAGAATAGTGTTCCAGGTTGAAACAGCTGACCTAGTTGAGAGGTGAGGAGACTCAGAATAGTGTTCCAGGTTGAACAGCTGACCTAGTTGAGAGGTGAGGAGACTCAGAATAGTGTTCCAGGTTGAAACAGCTGACCTAGTTGAGAGGTGAGGAGACTCAGAATAGTGTTCCAGGTTGAAACAGCTGACCTAGTTGAGAGGTGAGGAGACTCATAATAGTGTTCCAGGTTGAACAGCTGACCTAGTTGAGAGGTGAGGAGACTCAGATTAGTGTTCCAGGTTGAAACAGCTGACCTAGTTGAGAGGTGAGGAGACTCAGAATAGTGTTCCAGGTTGAAACAGCTGACCTAGTTGAGAGGTGCGGAGACTCAGAATAGTGTTCCAGGTTGAAACAGCTGACCTAATTGAGAGGTGAGGAGACTCAGAATAGTGTTCCAGGTTGAAACAGCTGACCTAGTTGAGAGGTGAGGAGACTCAGAATAGTGTTCCAGGTTGAAAAAGCTGACCTAGTTGAAAGGTGATGAGACTCAGAATAGTGTTCCAGGTTTAAACAGCTGACCTAGTTGAGAGGTGAGGAGACTCAGAATAGTGTTCCAGGTTGAAACAGCTGACCTAGTTGAGAGGTGAGGAGACTCAGAATAGTGTTCCAGGTTGAAACAGCTGACCTAGTTGAAAGGTGATGAGACTCAGAATAGTGTTCCAGGTTTAAACAGCTGACCTAGTTGAGAGGTGATGAGACTCAGAATAGTGTTCCAGGTTTAAACAGCTGACCTAGTTGAGAGGTGAGGAGACTCAGAATAGTGTTCCAGGTTGAAACAGCTGACCCAGGTGAGAGGTGAGGAGACTCAGAATAGTGTTCCAGGTTGAAACAGCTGACCTAGTTGAGAGGTGAGGAGACTCAGAATAGTGTTCCAGGTTGAAACAGCTGACCTAGTTGAGAGGTGAGGAGACTCAGAATAGTGTTCCAGGTTGAAACAGCTGACCTAGTTGAGAGGTGAGGAGACTCAGAATAGTGTTCCAGGTTGAAACAGCTGACCTAGTTGAGAGGTGAGGAGACTCAGAATAGTGTTCCAGGTTGAAAACAGCTGACCTAGTTGAGAGGTGATGAGACTCAGAATAGTGTTCCAGGTTGAAACAGCTGACCTAGTTGAGAGGTGAGAAGACTCAGAATAGTGTTCCAGGTTGAAACAGCTGACCTAGTTGAGAGGTGAGGAGACTCAGAATAGTGTTCCAGGTTGAAACAGCTGACCTAATTGAGAGGTGATGAGACTCAGAATAGTGTTCCAGGTTGAAACAGCTGACCTAGTTGAGAGGTGAGGAGACTCAAAATAGTGTTCCAGGTTGAAACAGCTGACCTAATTGAGAGGTGAGGAGACTCAGAATAGTGTTCCAGGTTGAAACAGCTGACCTAGTTGAGAGGTGATGAGACTCAGAATAGTGTTCCAGGTTGAAACAGCTGACCTAGTTGAGAGGTGAGGAGACTCAGAATAGTGTTCCAGGTTGAAACAGCTGACCTAGTTGAGAGGTGATGAGACTCAGAATAGTGTTCCAGGTTGAAACAGCTAACTGAGAGGTGAGAAGACTCAGGTACACCCATTGGTTCTGGACTAGACAAAGTGCAAATCACAGGAGGCTGGTGAGAGGAGGGCGGCTCATAATAATGGCTGGAATGGCTTGAATGGAATGGTATCAAACACCTGGTAAACAAGTATGTGATGCGTTTGATACCATTCCATTCACTCCGTACCCAGCCATTATTATGAGCCTGTCCTCCCCAATTAAGGTGCCACCCTGTGTTGCAAATAAGGTTTGCAATTTGGCATCAATAACGTGACAGTAATTCTACCTCAAAAACAAACGTGTGAATACTAATTCATTTAAAACCCACCATAGCAGGTAGGACTAAATATGGTTCCATAACCTCGCCTACTAGCTATACTAATGATCGGCTGTCCAGAGGGTAACAGCAAACAGATCAATGTCTTCCCGCATTAAAGTAAGCACACTGTTGACTCAAGAGATGCTAATCAGTCCATCTATGAATTTCTCATGCATTTAAATGGGAAGACAAATAGCCAGCTCATCTAGCCAGGCTAATGTTGCTAACTAGCTAGCTAACCATGAGCTAGCTAGCTAGATAACAGGTATTCTGTCAATTAAAAACTTGCGTAAGACAGTCCACAGAATTGTCAATTTAAAAAATGTTAGCAAATTTATTCTTTACTAAATTTAGCTAACATTAGATTTGCCTCGATTCGGCAGTCTCATCCAGATCATGGCTCATTAGCAGCTAATTTGCATTTCATTTTCGGGGGGGGGGGGGGGGAACAGGCAAATATATTGATAAAAGTTACCTTGTCCGAGAGAGATTTACACGGTTATCAAAACGTCACCCCAGGGTAAGCCTACGCGAAACACAGCCCTTATTTGAAGTGTTTCTAAAATCCCCTATGGGGAAAACTGAATGGTGGAAAAACGATTGGAACCATTTCTGTATCTGACCGCTAGGTTTTATGGGTATTATGACTCATACTGTGGTAGCGTAACTTTTCATTTATGGAAGTTGTTCCTTTCTTTATCAGGCATGTCATGTGTTTTTATATTTGTTGAGTTGAATATTTTGACAATATTTGAATGTTTGGAAGTGGAAGTCACTGGTGGTCGCTACTGTAACGCCTGGCTGTCATTGAGGCCTAGTAATGGTTGATGGCTAATGACCCCTGCTGGTAGACGTTTGTTACTGCAACAGGTTGGCCAGATGTGGCATGAACGTCCACAAGTCGTAGGGGGTAGAACGCCATCTATCGGCCATCAACCGCTCGCCTGTGGCTGTCTACCTGTTTGTTCATATAGCATAGAATAGATTAGAGAATGGACTCAAGACTTTATAAAAAGAGATTAGTGTACATCTGGAGTAGGTGATCTTCGCCCCTTAGGTATAGGCCTAAACAGTTTACACTAAATACTTTTGAACTGGTAAATGTTGACTGAAAGGAACAGTTCCTGATTTGTTCCTGTTACAGAAATCTATGTAAACATTGTTTCAACAACAAAAAAAACGTGCACTGACATGCACACCACGCCTGAAAATCCAGGGGCGGAGGAGAAGGATTTAATTTGACTTTTTCACCAGTGAAACGCAGCCTAAAGCTTTTCCTCTTCACCGTGTCAACGCAGACTTACACAATGGCTGGGGTGGCATCTACGTTGGCCAAGAAGAGGGCATTGGCCGCTGGGTTTGGCACTAATGCCAACGCGTCAAAGTACCTAAACCAAGACTTCCAGTCTCTCAGGAGCGAGTGTCTGAAAAGAGGTTCACTATTTACGGATTCCACTTTTCCAGCTGCACCTGAGTCGCTCGGATTCAAAGAGCTTGGCCCGAACACTTCCAAAACCAGAGGTGTGCAATGGAAGCGACCAGGGGTAAGTTACTGCGCCTCTTATACTCACTGATTTTACGCATGATTGAAGTTCACTGCACTAAACCAAAGTGTTATTAAAAAGTGCATTTCCTATCACTGGAAAAAAATCGCTATAGCCAGTGTCAGTAGTTTTTAGATGGGCGTGTCCGGATGCTGTCCTTTTTGGTGTCCCTAATCGGTGTAAATCCATCACATTCTTATTTTCTACCCAAAACAACTCATATGTTGGATTAAATCAATGTTAGTCATCTGATCCGATCCTAAAGGTTTTGGCTGTGGTAGTGTTGGCAATAGATCAACTCATGTCTAGGCTAACTCATGTGAACTGACATTAGCTCCCTGAATAAAGCAAGTGGATCACTTTATTGAAGTTCTCAGGGTATCTTTCTTACTTGTGTTTTGATCCCTCCCTGAATAGGAACTGGTGTCCAGCCCAGAGTTCATCATTGGTGGAGCAACGAGAACCGACATCTGCCAAGGAGGCCTGGGTAAGTCTGCCTTTATATTAGGAGGTCTGGGTAAGTCTGCCTTTATATTAGGAGGTCTGGATAAGTCTGCCTTTATATTAGGAGGTCTGGATAAGTCTGCCTTTACATTAGGAGGTCTGGATAAATCTGCCTTTATATTAGGAGGTCTGGATAAGTCTGCCTTTATATTAGGAGGTCTGGATAAGTCTGCCTTTATATTAGGAGGTCTGGATAAGTCTGCCTTTATATTAGGAGGTCTGGATAAGTCTGCCTTTACATTAGGAACCAAAACAGGAACAGGAACCATATCAAAGCCACGGGGCCAGTTAGCAACAGCATCCATGTTTTCATCTTTGAGGAAGAGATGGTATAGTAGTCCAAGTGAATATGATTGATGTAATAACATAAACAGTTATTTCTTTAACCAATTATTACAGAGGGGATTTGTTTTCCTAGACTACCAACGAATAGCCCCCCCATGTCAGGTTGTTATCGTTCTAACGAGGTATAGTATTATAAAACATCAACAACAGGAATAGATTTCCATGGAAACCAATCCAGTAACCATGCCGGGAGGAAGTCCGGTCACTTTGTTTGGAGAGTCCATCTGGAGATGCTCTGCAGATGGTCATACTATCAACAAACTATCTGTTGATAAGCAACTGCTAGCTGTTAGTAGATAGTTTAGAAGGGCTAGGTTAGGTTGGGTTAGGATAAGTTTAGAATAAGGTGTAGGTTAGGTTGATAAGGTTTAGATAAGGCTAGGTTAAGTAGGGCTAGGATAAGGTTTAATAAGGTTAACGGTTAGGGTAGGATAGGTTTGGATAGTAAGGGCTAGGGTTAAGTTAGGGTTGATAAGGTAGATAAGGTTAGGGTTAGGATAAGGTTTAGAATAAGGGCTAGGGTTAAGGTTAGGGTTAGGATAAGGTTTAGAATAAGGGTTAAGGTTAGGGTTAGGATAAGGTTTAGAATAAGGGCTAGGGTTAAGGTTAGGGCTAGGGTTAGAGTTAATTAGGATAAGGTAGGTTAGTAGCTGGTAAGGTTCAGGTAGAAAAGGTTATGGAAAGGCTAGGGTTAAGTTGGCTTGGGAAAGGTAGTTGTAGGCTAGGTGGTTAGTTGCTTCGATAAGGTGTAGGTTGGTTAGTCATGTGAAAGTCCCTGATGCGCTGGAGGTCTACAACCAGATTTGTTATTGGCTCCTTCTCCAGGTGCGTTTAAGTGAGCTGTTACTACAGCCCTTAACCAACGTGCATAATTTTTTTATAAAAAAGTAAAAAAACGACACAAAAAGTGAGAAAAGGAGCAGAGTAATACATAACATTAGGGAGCTATATATACAGGGGGACCGGGCAGGTCAATGTCGGCACGCTAGTGCGTAGTTGAGCTGTAATATGTACATGTGGGTAGAGCTAAAGTGATATGCATAAATAATTAAACAAGTGCAGCAGCGTAAAAAATTGTGGTGGGGTGGGGGGGGGGGGGGGCAGTGCAAATAGACTGTAGCCAGATTAGCTCTACCAGTATGTGTTAGCTGACAGTAAATAGCGGCGCCCTGGTGTGTATGTCAAACTGCATATTCTAAAGCGTGAGTCAGAAAGAGCAATGGCCGTGGTCGACTAAACCAGTTAAACCCGAATGAACACCTCACTCGCTCACCATAAACACGGCAGTTAACGTCTGGTTTAACCGGGGTAGGGATGGGGCCCGCCCAGAGGGAGATGTTTTGATCAGTTGACTCATTTTTTTCATAACTCATCTTTAGACACACACACACACACACACACACGCACAACAAACATGTGTCTCTTCTCTGTTCTCTCCAGGTGACTGCTGGCTCCTGGCAGCCATCGCCTCTCTGACCCTGAATGAAGATGTGATGGCCCGGGTCGTTCCTGAAGGACAAGGCTTTGGACCTGGAGAGTACGCTGGGATCTTTCACTTCCAGGTAGAGATAGGCTCACGTTCTAGAGTCACAGGCCGGATCATAAAATGGCAGCCTGTGCACTAATTTTGATTAGGCTCTGGTCCAAAGTAGTTCACGATAAAGCAGTCGTATTCAAACTTTGTCAGCGGGGATCCACCAGAATGCCTGGGGACCCCATTTTTCCCCCATGAACTTCTCGTGACCCCACCCCACCCCAAATCTAATGACACAACCTTAAAATCCATACATTTTTTACATCAACAAATAACCTTAAATTCATTGCATTTTCATCTCTTATCATAATGAAAATAAACCAATAAATGCATTTACTCCATATATATTTATTTATTATGATCTTTCTCAAAATTATCTTTCCCAAACAATAATATATACTCTGAATTTTCTGTTCCTAAAATGTGAAGTTACAAATTTTTTTTTTTTTTTTTACAATGTTGGCAACCCCACTGCAGTTTCCCCAGACTTTGAATACCACTGCTATGAAATAAATAGTGCCATTCGGAGCGCAGACATATTGTATATAGTCCAAGTATACAGTATATAATGTGACTATACAGGTTAAATTAACCCTGCCAGATGTCACACCTTATTCTCCTTCTGGAGAAAACGTAGAACGGCTGGGGTCGAGGCTACCATAACTCAAGCCCTTATTGTTGTCTCGTGTCTGTGGCGTTAGAATAACAACTAGTATGAACAACTCCCACATGAAGTGGTCGTGGTTAGCGCGCAACACAATGCGGTACCTCTGTCAAAGCAACAATTAGGAGGGCGTATCTTCTCTCAGACACGTAATACGCCCCCTGTATGTGAGACAACCAGTAACGTCATTTTTTTGGATTATCCAAACTCGGCAACGGAATCTGATAACGTTCAGTCACTTTTGATTGAATTATCTGTAATCTGATTAAAATATTTTTTGCTGGTAACATAACTGATTAAAGGTTACGCTACCAGCCACCCTGTATAAAGGATGCACAGTTCTGGAAGTTTTTCCCCCATCCAGATGGGCCATTGTGTTAAACTGAGAGAAGGGCTACCTACCAACTCTGCCCAGAGTGGGCGAAAACGCACTTTGGTGATGACATTTCACTTCCTTATGTTACAAAATACATTTTACCAAGACCAATATGAATCTTCATGTTCTGAATCATTCAGTGGGGTCTTTGTCTAACATTTAATTAACATTTATATCCAAAAAGTAGGATTTCATAACCTAAGGGACAGATCTAAATTAACTAGGGGAGAGGGGCTGGTTCAACTCAAGGTGTCATTTTAAAAAATGCAGCTCCCTCCCCAACATTACAAATATTTCCACATGACCCTCCCCTTGTATTGTAAAATTAATTGAACCCCCTCCCCCTCAGAATTAACTGAGAATAATGTTTACCACCAAACATTACAATAACTGTAGTGAGTGTGTTTATAGATGTTGATATGGACTTCGTCACTTCAGCATGTTTTTTTGTGGCAACAGTCAATGTCACACAGGGCTACAAGCCAGAAGAGTTGAGGGTTCTCCGACCTCTTCCCGAGAAGAGTTGAGGGTTCTCCGACCTCTTCCCGAGAAGAGTTGAGGGTTCTCCGACCTCTTCCCGAGAAGAGTTGAGGGTTCTCCGACCTCTTCCCGAAGAGTTGAGGGTTCTCCGACCTCTTCCCGAGAAGAGTTGAGGGTTCTCCGACCTCTTCCCGAGAAGAGTTGAGGGTTCTCCGACCTCTTCCCGAGAAGAGTTGAGGGTTCTCCGACCTCTTCCCGAGAAGAGTTGAGGGTTCTCCGACCTCTTCCCGGGAAGAGTTGAGGGTTCTCTGACCTCTTCCCGAGAAGAGTTGAGGGTTCTCCGATCTCTTCCCAAGAAGAGTTGAGGGTTCTCCGACCTCTTCCCGAGAAGTGTTGAGGGTTCTCCGACCTCTTCCCGAGAAGAGTTGAGGGTTCTCCGACCTCTTCCCGAGAAGAGTTGCGGGTTCTCCGACCTCTTCCTGAGAAGAGTTGAGGATTCTCCGACCTCTTCCCGAGAAGAGTTGAGGGTTCTCCGACCTCTTCCCGAGAAGAGTTGAGGGTTCTCCGACCTCTTCCCGAGAAGAGTTGAGGGTTCTCCGACCTCTTCCTGAAGAGTTGAGGGTTCTCCGACCTCTTCCTGCATGTTTTATTACACTATGATCAATGATCAGCTAGGGCGAAATCAGAATTTCTACATTTTGATACCATATTTATAATTATATAAAATACACGCAACGAATTTTCCACCAACAGGTTTCTGTGCCAATGCACCACATAACCAATGAACAAAGCATACCGACTTCAGGCACTTCAATATCATGGCTTGTATTCAACACCACAATAATAGACTGTGTTAGTCTCGACAAACAGAACACGCATCCCTACTAGACCTGTCCCTGTGTTGGTCCAGTAAACAAAGTCACGTCCTCTGCGTCCATTATACCGTGTAGCGGTGTTGGAGTTGGTTATAACCTATTTATTGACGTGATTATGATATCGCTACAGGTCAGGTGCATGCGATGCATACGTGTGTCACGTAAAGAGAGCGAGGGGTTGAGGGAATAGGGAATGTTTTTCCTAAACAAATGAGGGATTTCAAGTAAGAAACTAGAAGTGTCTAATTATTTTTGCCGCTTCAGCACCACGGACAGCGCGGTAAACACTGTTGCTGTGCTCATGAGGATTTCAAATGGTGTGGTGGCTTTCTGCTAAGTTATTTTCCGCTGGTTGCAAAAAGCAAAAGTAACATGACATCAGCTGAATTAAATGTAAAAGGTTTTGAAAATTAAAAAGCTTGCGGTATGCTCAGTGCTTGGTTGAAATTTCACAGAGATACACTTGTTCTTCTGAGAAATCTTTAAATAATAACAGAATTTTGCATTAATATAAAAAACATATATCCATCTTACCTCTATATTGTTTTATGTCCTCCTGATTGGAGAAGAAAGATGACGAGTTCAACAGTGAGCCTGTCAGGTAGCCTTAAATCTCTCACAGCATCCAGTCTAGCTGACGCCATGCTATGTTCCAGATTGTTCCAGATTCTTGACCACTTTCTTTTCTCTTACACATATCAGCCTTGTCTAGAAACAATCCCTAAACCCCTACCACCCTAGACACTAGAAACAATCCCTAAACCCCTACCACCCTAGACACTAGAAACAATCCCTAAACCCCTACCACCCTAGACACTAGAAACAATCCCTAAACACCTACCACCCTAGACACTAGAAACAATCCCTTAACCCCTACCACCCTAGACACTAGAAACAATCCCTAAACCCCTACCACCCTAGACACTAGAAACAATCCCTAAACCCCTACAACCCTAGACACTAGAAACAATCCCTAAACCCCTACCACCCTAGACACTAGAAACAATCCCTAAACCCCTACCACCCTAGACACTAGAAACAATCCCTAAACCCCTACCACCCTAGACACTAGAAACAATCACTTTACCACTACCACCCTAGACACTAGAAACAATCCCTAAACCCCTACCACCCTAGACACTAGAAACAATCCCTAAACCCCTACCACCCTAGACACTAGTGGATATCAAGGTTGATTCTGGACACGACCATTCCTTATCAGGTATGTAAGTTAAGGGATGTACCATTAAGTTCTGGAGGTTTCCATTGTGTTAGGGTGGGAGGCCCTAGTGAGAGGTGTGCTGTGGGAAACTTTGGGTTAGCACAGAGGAGAGGAGGACACCACAGTCATTCAGAATGAGGAACAGAGGGATCTGGTTTTAATGCACTCACACATTCCCCATCATGAATCTAACAGAAACTGCCTCCAACCAATTCTTACGCCAATCGTTGACAGGGATGTACCTGTCACTTTAGAAGAAAAAAAATGTGAGAATCCGTTTGCAGCTTCAGGTTTCAACAACTGGTGCTGCTCAGTATGGAACTGGCTGTATTTGGATATGTGCCTATTCACACTAACAAAGTTGTCATTTTAGGAGGATCATTTCCACTTATGTTTTAATTATGATCAGTCAGTACAATCAGCCAAAGAGTTCAATCTTGGTTTCATCAGACCAGAGAATCTTGTTTAAAGATGCACAATGCAGAAAACGCTCTGTCATTTCCTGGTTGCAAAAATTCTAATAGTTTGCCTAGTTTCAGTTTATGTGACAAAACAAGCCAGTATAGCTTAGAGAATCATTGTACCATCTAAACCGCTGTGGAATATATTTTCCATAACCAAAAATATTGTATTTTCAGGTGTTTGAAGCTGGTGTACAAAACTTTAAAGTAAAAGACGCAAAAATGAAACATAAGAATGGGAAACATAGAAATAGCACACATAGAACAGATTTACAGCTTTTTAGACTTGCTTTCAATGAGAATGACAGATCTATAACTCACATTTCTATGTGGATTTGGCCGGGTCGCCCGAAAAGTTATATATTGCAGCTTTAACTATTTAACTAACTATTTAGTAGTCTTATGGCTTGGGGTAGAAGCTGTTCAGGGTCCTGTTGATTCCAAACTTGGTGCATCGGTACCACTTGCCGTGCGGTAGCAGAGAGAACAGTCTATGACTTGGGTGGCTGGAGTCTTTGACAATTTTTAGGGCTTTCCTCTGACACCGCCTGGTATAGAGGTCCTGGATGGCAGGAAGCTTGGCCCCATTGATGTACTGGGCCGTAAGCACTACCCTCTGTAGGGCATTGCGGTCAGATTCCAAGCAGTTGCCATACCAAGCAGTGATGTAGCCAGTCAAGATACTCTCAATGGTGCAGCTGTATAACTGTTTGAGGATCTGAGGACGCATGCCGAATCTTTTCAGCCTCCTGAGGGGAAGAGGCATTGTCGTGCCCTCTACATGACTGTGTTGGTGTGTGTGGACCATGTTAATTCCTTAGTGATGTGGACACAGAGGAATTTGAAACTCTCGACCTGCACCACTACAGCCCCGTCGATGTGGGTGGGGGGTGCTCAGCCTTCCGTTTCCTGTAGTCCTCGATCAGCTCCTTTGTCTTGCTGACGTTGAGGGAGAGGTTGTTGTCCTGGAATCACACGGCCAGGTCTCTGACCTCCTCCCTATAGGCTGTCTCATCGTCGTCAGTGATCAGGCCTACCACTGTTGTGTCGTCAGCAAACTTCATGTTGGTGTTGGAGTCGTGCGCAGCATCGCAGTCGTGGGTGAACAGGGAGTACAAGAGCGGACTAAGCACGCATCCCTGAGGGGCCCCCGTGTTGAGGGTCAGCGTGGCGGAAAGTGTTGTTGCCTACCCTCACCACCTGGGGGCGGCCCGTCAGGAAGTCCAGGATCCAGTTGCAGAGGGAGGTGTTTATTCCCAGGGTCCTTAGCTTAGTGATGAGCTTGGAGGGGACTATGGTGTTGAACGCTGAGCTGTAGTCAATAAACAATCATTCACACGTGGGTGTTCCATTTGTCCAGGTGGGAAAGGGCAGTGTGGAGTGCAATAGAGATTGGGTCATCTGTGGATCTGTTGGGGCAGTATGTGAATTGGAGTGGGTCCAGGGTGTCTGGGATGATGGTGTTGATGTGAGCCATGACCAGCCTTTCAAAGCATTTCATGGCTACAGATGTGAGTGCTACGGGGCTGTAGTTATTTAGACAGGTTACCTTGGCATTCTTGACAGGGACTATGGTGGTCTGCTTGAAACATGTAGGTATTACAGACTGGGTCAGGGAGAGGTTGAAAATGTCAGTGAAGTCACTTGCCAGCTGGTCAGCTCATGCTCTGAGTACGCTTCCTGGTAATCTGTCTGGCCCTGCGGCCTTGTGAAGGTTAACCTGTTTAAAGGTCCTACTTACATCGACAACGGAGAGCGTGATCACACAGTCGTTCGGAACAGCTGGTGATCTCATGCATGGTTCAGTGTTGCTAGCCTTGAAGCGAGCATTGAAGGTATTTAGCTCGTCTGGTAGGCTCGCGTCACTCGGCAGCTCACGGCTGGGATTCCCTTTGTAATCCGTGATAGTTTGCAAGCCCTGCCACATCGGACAAGCATCAGAGCCGGTGTAGTAGGATTCAATCTTGGTCCTGTATTGACTCTTTGCATGTTTGATGGTTCGTCTGAGGGCATAGCGGGATTTCTTTATAAGCGTCCAAATTAGTGTCCTGCTCCTTGAAAGCGGTAGCTCTAATCTTTAGCTCGGTGCGGATGTTGCCCGTAATCCATGGCTTCTATTTTGGATATGTACGTACGATACACTTTTTAATGAAGCCAGTGACTGATGTGGTAAACTCCTCAATGCCATCAGAAGAATCCCGGAACATATTCCAGTCTGTGCTAGAGAAACAGTCCTGTAGCGTAGCATCCGCTTCATCGGACCACTTCCGTATTGAGTGCATCACTGGTACTTCCTGTTTGACTTTTTTCTTGTAAGCAGGAATCAGGAGGATGGGAGTTATGGTCAGATTTGCCAAATGGAGGGTGAGGGAGAGCTTTGGATGCGTCTCTGTGTGTGGAGTAAAGGTGATCTCGAGTTTTTTCGCCACTAGTTGCACAGGTGAGATGCTGGTAGAAATTAGGTCAAACGGATTTCAGTTTTCCTGCATTAAAGTCACCGGCTACTAGGAGCGCCACCTCTGGGTGAGCATTTTCTTGTTTACTTATGGCCCTATACAACTGTGTGGTCTTAGTGTAAGCATTGGTTTGTGGTGGTAAATAGACATCTACGAAAAATATAGAGCCGTCTTCTCCTTCTTCAAGTGTCTGGGATTTGGACCTGGTCCAGGATAATCCATATGTCTTTCGCCTCTGACTCATTGAAGTAGTCCTCGTCCAAATCGAGGTTAATGATCGCTGTTCTGATGTCCAGAAGCTCTTTTCGGTCATTGGAAACGATGGCGGAAACATTATGTACAAAAAAAGTTACGATCAGTGCAAGAACATATACAAAATAGCACAATTGGTCAGGAGCCTGTAAAACAGCCACTTTTCCCTCCAGCACCATTCTCTGCAAAGAGTTCTGGAATGTAACCATTCTCATGTTCTGGAATGCAATGTTGAATGTTGTCTGTTGTGGTCCTCTTCAGTTCTGGCAGTTTGGTGAGTGGGTGGATGTGGTGATTGATGACCGGCTGCCAACGAAGGATGGAAAGCTGCTATTTGTTCACTCAGCCGAGGGCAATGAGTTCTGGAGCGCCCTGCTGGAGAAGGCCTACGCCAAGTAAGATACAGCACCATAATACATACATGGTTTATGCTAAGATACAGCACCATAATACATACATGGTTTATGCTACGATACAGCACCATAATACATGGTTTATGCTACGATACAGCACCATAATACATGGTTTATGCTACGATACAGCACCATAATACATGGTTTATGCTAAGATACAGCACCATAATACATACATGGTTTATGCTACGATACAGCACCATAATACATGGTTTATGCTACGATACAGCACCATAATACATACATGGTTTATGCTACGATACAGCACCATAATACATACATGGTTTATGCTACGATACAGCACCATAATACATACATGGTTTATGCTACGATACAGCACCATAATACATACATGGTTTATGCTAAGATACAGCACCATAATACATGGTTTATGCTACGATACAGCACCATAATACATGGTTTATGCTACGATACAGCACCATAATACATGGTTTATGCTATGCTACAGCACCATAATACATACATGGTTTATGCTAAGATACAGCACCATAATACATACATGGTTTATGCTACGATACAGCACCATAATACATGGTTTATGCTACGATACAGCACCATAATACATGGTTTATGCTAAGATACAGCACCATAATACATACATGGTTTATGCTACGATACAGCACCATAATACATGGTTTATGCTACGATACAGCACCATAATACATGGTTTATGCTAAGATACAGCACCATAATACATGGTTTATGCTAAGATACAGCACCATAATACATACATGGTTTATGCTAAGATACAGCACCATAATACATACATGGTTTATGCTAAGATTCAGCACCATAGTACATACATGGTTTATGCTAAGATACAGCACCATAGTACATACATGGTTTATGCTAAGATACAGCACCATAATACATGGTTTATGCTAAGATACAGCACCATAATACATGGTTTATGCTACGATACAGCACCGTAATACATGGTTTATGCTAAGATACAGCACCATAATACATACATGGTTTATGCTAAGATACAGCACCATAATACATACATGGTTTATGCTAAGATACAGCACCATAATACATGGTTTATGCTACGATACAGCACCATAATACATCCATGGTTTATGCTAAGATACAGCACCATAATACATACATGGTTTATGCTAAGCTACAGCACCATAATACATACATGGTTTATGCTAAGATACAGCACCATAGTACATACATGGTTTATGCTAAGATACAGCACCATAATACATGGTTTATGCTAAGATACAGCACCATAATACATGGTTTATGCTAAGATACAGCACCATAATACATGGTTTATGCTAAGATACAGCACCATAGTACATACATGGTTTATGCTAAGATACAGCACCATAATACATGGTTTATGCTAAGATACAGCACCATAATACATGGTTTATGCTACGATACAGCACCGTAATACATGGTTTATGCTAAGATACAGCACCATAATACATACATGGTTTATGCTAAGATACAGCACCATAATACATACATGGTTTATGCTAAGATACAGCACCATAATACATGGTTTATGCTACGATACAGCACCATAATACATCCATGGTTTATGCTAAGATACAGCACCATAATACATACATGGTTTATGCTAAGCTACAGCACCATAATACATACATGGTTTATGCTAAGATACAGCACCATAGTACATACATGGTTTATGCTAAGATACAGCACCATAATACATGGTTTATGCTAAGATACAGCACCATAATACATGGTTTATGCTAAGATACAGCACCATAATACATACATGGTTTATGCTACGATACAGCACCATAATACATGGTTTATGCTACGATACAGCACCATAATACATGGTTTATGCTAAGATACAGCACCATAATACATGGTTTATGCTAAGATACAGCACCATAATACATACATGGTTTATGCTAAGATACAGCACCATAATACATACATGGTTTATGCTAAGATTCAGCACCATAGTACATACATGGTTTATGCTAAGATACAGCACCATAGTACATACATGGTTTATGCTAAGATACAGCACCATAATACATGGTTTATGCTAAGATACAGCACCATAATACATGGTTTATGCTACGATACAGCACCGTAATACATGGTTTATGCTAAGATACAGCACCATAATACATACATGGTTTATGCTAAGATACAGCACCATAATACATACATGGTTTATGCTAAGATACAGCACCATAATACATGGTTTATGCTACGATACAGCACCATAATACATCCATGGTTTATGCTAAGATACAGCACCATAATACATACATGGTTTATGCTAAGCTACAGCACCATAATACATACATGGTTTATGCTAAGATACAGCACCATAGTACATACATGGTTTATGCTAAGATACAGCACCATAATACATGGTTTATGCTAAGATACAGCACCATAATACATGGTTTATGCTAAGATACAGCACCATAATACATGGTTTATGCTAAGATACAGCACCATAGTACATACATGGTTTATGCTAAGATACAGCACCATAATACATGGTTTATGCTAAGATACAGCACCATAATACATGGTTTATGCTACGATACAGCACCGTAATACATGGTTTATGCTAAGATACAGCACCATAATACATACATGGTTTATGCTAAGATACAGCACCATAATACATACATGGTTTATGCTAAGATACAGCACCATAATACATGGTTTATGCTACGATACAGCACCATAATACATCCATGGTTTATGCTAAGATACAGCACCATAATACATACATGGTTTATGCTAAGCTACAGCACCATAATACATACATGGTTTATGCTAAGATACAGCACCATAGTACATACATGGTTTATGCTAAGATACAGCACCATAATACATGGTTTATGCTAAGATACAGCACCATAATACATGGTTTATGCTAAGATACAGCACCATAATACATACATGGTTTATGCTAAGATACAGCACCATAATACATACATGGTTTATGCTAAGATACAGGACCATAATACATACATGGTTTATGCTAAGCTACAGCACCATAATACATGGTTTATGCTAAGATACAGCACCATAATACATGGTTTATGCTACGATACAGCACCATAGTACATACATGGTTTATGCTAAGATACAGCACCATAATACATACATGGTTTATGCTAAGATACAGCACCATAATACATACATGGTTTATGCTAAGATTCAGCACCATAGTACATACATGGTTTATGCTAAGATACAGTACCATAATACATACATGGTTTATGCTAAGATACAGCACCATAGTACATACATGGTTTATGCTAAGATTCAGCACCATAGTACATACATGGTTTATGCTAAGATTCAGCACCATAGTACATACATGGTTTATGCTAAGATACAGCACCATAATACATACATGGTTTATGCTACGATACAGCACCATAATACATGGTTTATGCTACGATACAGCACCATAATACATGGTTTATGCTAAGATACAGCACCATAATACATGGTTTAGGCTAAGATACAGCACCATAATACATGGTTTATGCTACGATACAGCACCATAATACATGGTTTATGCTAAGCTACAGCACCATAATACATGGTTTATGCTAAGATACAGCACCATAATACATGGTTTATGCTACGATACAGCACCATAGTACATACATGGTTTATGCTACGATACAGCACCATAATACATACATGGTTTATGCTAAGATACAGCACCATAATACATACATGGTTTATGCTAAGATACAGCACCATAATACATACATGGTTTATGCTAAGCTACAGCACCATAGTACATACATGGTTTATGCTAAGATACAGCACCATAATAAATACATGGTTTATGCTAAGCTACAGCACCATAATAAATACATGGTTTATGCTACGATACAGCACCATAATACATGGTTTATGCTAACATACAGCACCATAATACATACATGGTTTATGCTACGATACAGCACCGTAATACATGGTTTATGCTAAGCTACAGCACCTTAGTACATACATGGTTTATGCTAAGTAAGATACAATATTAACACAACAGATACAGTTCATGGTGTAAACGTTGTTTGTCAAAGAGTTCTGTCATTCCCTGTTCAGTATTACCTGATTCCCAGAGGATTTGCGGTGTTGCCTGAAAAAAAGAATTGGCCAATGTATATATGGTCTCCTTTCAAACAGCCAGATTTTTTACCACATTCGCGATTCACCTTTTATACCTCCCGTGCAAATACAAGTTTAGGAGTGGGCCGATATGGGTGGGTGTCTATTTTAATAAATCCATTGAACATACACCATCACAAAGAAATCCATTATTAATTCATTTAGGCAGGTCCTAAGAAAACATTATAAGACCTTTAAAATGTATTTTCAAAACAATAGAATGGAATAATTTGAGTTAAATTATGTTACTGGTCTGTGCAGTCATAGGTGGTTATTTTGTTAATTAAACAGACAACACACACATACCCCGATTACAGTCAACACATATATATTTTATAGTAATTATATAATGGAGTATAACAGAATATCTTTTCCACACAACTTGTGTCACGGGAACGTGTGGAACTGCTGTCATATAAACAAACACAAAATAGCGATATTTTGAAACAGAGCCCAAGGCAAGCCCATCTTTCATCTCTTTCCTGTACCCTCAATCCACTTTGTTAGGGGAACAGGCGTATGGTCTTACATTGAGAGTATCTTCATCATGACACCAATAGAAAATAATAACAGTCTATATTTATTCAAAAGCATGTGAGTCTAGTGATCATATTTCACAACCTCCGCGGGCTTTTGGAGTTGCCTGTACGCGAGCAAAAATAATAGCCCTACTCTTGATTTAGGCTACATTATAGCATGCTAAATGTTCCTGATCAGTGATAAATAAGCAAACGAATAGATGAGCAACACCACCTCCACTTATTTGCCCAGCCAGGGAATTAACCAAATATACACAAGGAGATTCAGTGAAACAAAAATCACATTGATTGATTAAGACAAGTCACAGGTTTTTGGTCGGGCCTAGGCTACTAAGCGACTGCAAGTGAATCTTAACTGGCTAAATGTTCCGATCAGTGCTAATTAATGAGCCAAATAGCCTAACCAATAGCAAATGGAGATTCAGTGAAAACAAAAATCTGACATCTTGACTTATCAAGACGAGTCCCCCACGCTTGTCTCAAAGCAGCGCAATGGCGCTGTCCCAATCAAAACGGTGCTAAAACTATCATCTAAACAGTTGACCACACGCGGGTTGGCTATTGCTTCAAATGTATTGTAATGATTGGATGACTTCGGGAGTTTCAGGAAGCAACTATTTGATACATGCCGTCAAATGCATTAGACTACTTTATTGCAATATGTTCGTCACCCAGTGATATTTATTCCCACAGTAATTCTTTATGGATCCATCCAGTTGTGGTTTAGAAACAGTAACATGCCTAACAAAGTTTAGAACTGCCTGGAGGATGGTAACGGCCTATAACGGGCGCTGCTTAGCAACCATCAAGAGTTTAGGAGCGTAGTGCGTGCCAAGGCCTATGGAGCATTATGGCTTCATAGGCAGAACTTTACCGGAATCATGACTAGGTCAAAGTTTAGGCTTTGATACCGGCAACACCTTTCAGATATAAAGAAAAGGTGTAAAAAAAAAAGTTGGCGGCATTCTAAAATTGCCAGAAAAACTTTTTGGTTTGAAAGGTGTATTTGTCTGTTCATATTTTTTCTGTCTGTCTGTGCTGTCTGTCTGTCTGTCTGTCTGTCTGTCTGTCGTCTTAACATGTCTCTCTCTCTCTCTCTCTCTCGTCTGTCTCTAGACTCTCCTCTATCATAGTTCTCTCTCTCTCTCTCTTTTTCTACTTCTCTCCTCGCCTTCGCTCCCTCTCTCTCTCTATCACCTCTATCTTCTCGCTTAATCTCTATCTCTTCACTCTCTCTCTCTTTCTCTCTCTCTCCTTCTCTTCTCTCTCTCTCTCTTCTCTCTCTCTCTCTCTCTTCTCTCTCTCTCCTCTGTCTCTCTCTCTGTGTCGCTCAGGGTGAATGGATGCTATGAGGCTCTGTCAGGTGGCTCCACCACTGAGGGCTTTGAGGACTTCACAGGAGGGATAGCAGAGAACTATGACCTGAAGAAGGCTCCCTCTAACCTGTTCCAGATCATCAGGAAAGCCCTGGCCTCTGGAGCTCTGCTGGGCTGCTCCATCGACGTGTGTACAACTTCAGAATATAACATTATATTATTATCAAGTTGGAGTTTCAGGTTTTTATTTGCCACGTGTAATGAAAACATTGTAGGACTTCACATGATTGTGATATGTGGTTGTTTTACTGGATAAGAGCATATGCTATATGGCTAAAATGTAAATGAGACAGTCAATGTTACATGCAGATATTATCAAAGAGAAGGTTTTATTTGCGATGATAGTGGGGGGTTTTCCTTCACTTTAGTTGTGCCACGGAATGTAAGTCGCTCTGGATAAAAACGTATGTTATGAGACGGTCACTGTTAAATGCAGTAAACGTTTGGGAGTGGTTTCCTGGGCACAGATTAAGCCTAGTCCTAGACTAAAAATCAAGCTGAATGAACAGCCTCCATGGATAATTATTTTAGTCCAGGTTCTGTGAGCTGTTTGGTTGTGGTTTTATCAGGTTTCTAATCCTAGTTTGTTCATGGTGTGTTTCTGATTTCGTTACGGTGTGGTTCCCCTGTCTCTCCAGATCACCAGCCAGGCGGACTCAGAGGCCATCACCTATCAGAAGCTGGTGAAAGGACACGCCTACTCTCTGACCGGGGCTATGGAGGTAACGTCAGACAGACTCATACAGTAGGGTTCCCCAACTGGCAGGCCGAATTTGGCCCGCAGGTGGTTTCATTTGCCCCCCCCCCCCCCCCCCCCCCCAAACTTTTCTGAGCAAAAAAACAAAAAGTGTTTTTAATTTTGATTGTTGGACATACTAGACTGTAAAAACACCAGGAAATCAGCTCCAAGTGATCGTAATTTAAAATGAATCTGTTCCCAAGTATTCCCACGGATAATAGAGAGACACTTGATCATATACAGTTGAAGTCGGAAGTTTACATACACTTAGGTTGGAGTCATTAAAACTTGTTTTTCAACCACTCCACACATTTCTTGTTCTTGCTTCTGCGAAGCCTGGTGGCAGGTCTGTTTGTGCTTTATGGCCAACTCCTATGTACGACGTATGCATTATGTTGAGTGTGTAATGGGTCTATGTTGTAAACAGCATTACTGTGTGACTGAGACAAGTTCATCCTATCCTATCATATTGACAAGGACCATATGAGTTGGCTACTCAGGCTAACAAAGACCTTCATAGTGTGTGACAGTGGTCGCCAACCGGTCGATCGCGAACTTACTAGTGATGGGTCATGCGCACAAGCATCGGCTCTGAGAGCCGGCTCTTTGTAGTGAATCAGAAGAGCCGGCTCGCATCGAGTGAGAGCCGGCTCCCAGTTTTTTGCCCATTCGCTGCTTAGGTTTCACTTTCACAGAGGTCTGTTATGATTGGCCAGCATGGCGACCAGCATGCGGCATTCACGTGAGAATTAAGGATGTGTAAACAGAGAGGGGGCGGGGCAGACACACCACTTGACTCCACTGCAAGTGAAGAGAGAGACAGAGCGGACTGAGGAGCGTGTGTGCGTCTTGCATTGTCGTGTCGTTTAACTATGAGTGACACTAGAAAGCGAAGCAGCATCTGGCTGCAGTTTAAAGATATTGGGAACAAGAAAGCAGAGTGCCTTCACTGCAAAACGAAGGTCACTATAAGAGCAGGTTCCACCACAAACCTGCATAGACATACAAGAACTGTCCATCCTACAGTGCAGTTAGAGGAGAGAGGGCAAGCCAGCTCACCATCTACTGATCCTGGTGTGTCTCATACCAGAACAACAGCTGCTGTAACGTCTACTGCCATCCCCATGCGTGCAAGTATAACCTCTCCTACTGCAACTCAAAGCAAAATAAGTCAGTTTTTACCTAAACTGATGACCCCAGCCAAACAGCACAGTATTGATGATGAGTTGGCTAAAATGGTAGCTTCTGATTTTCAACCCTTTTCCATTGTGGAGGACAAAGGAATGAAAAACTTTGTCAAAGCCCTAAATCCCACATACACTCTACCCAGTAGAAAAACACTTTCCCAAACAATGATCCCAAAACTATATGACACAGAACGTGCATTATGGCAAGAAAGGGTGACAAAAGCTCCATCAGTTTGCCTGACAACTGACTGCTGGACCTCCAGAACAACCTGCTCTTTCATGTCTGTCACTTGCCACTTTATTGAAGATTACAAGATGACATCTTGCCTTCTGGACTGCTTCGAGTTCACCGACAGACACACTGCAGAAAAACTTGGCAGTGGAGCTACTAAGAGTGGCAAAAGAGTGGCAAGTAGAGGACAAAGTGGTGTGCTGTGTGAGTGATAATGCTGCAAACATCACCAAAGCCATAAAAGTTTTGAAGTGGACCCATCACCCATGTCTGGCGCATACACTAAACCTGGTGGTTAGAGATGCTCTGAAGGTGATCAAAACAACCGTGGATAAGGTGAAGGCTGTTGTGGAGTTTTTCCACAAAAGCACAGTAGCAGCACAGAAGCTAAAGTCCACACAGCGCCAAATGGGGATTCCTGAACTGAGGCCCAAACAAGAGTGTGCCACCAGGTGGAACTCAACATTTGATATGTTGAAACGAATGCTTGAAATAAAAGATGCCATCATCTCCACCCTGGCCCTCATCAACGCATCTATTGAGCCATTAAGCCAAGAGGAATGGGAGCTGGTGAAAGAGGTCTGCGCCGTCCTGCAACCATTCCAGGAGGTGACTGTGGAGATAAGTGCAGACAGGTACCTAGAACCATTGAAGCATTGTTTTCTCTACTACTATTCAGTCACTATTATACATTGCAAACACAACACATACAGTATAATGCATCACGTATAATATGCCACATACTTTTAAAAAACTAAATTCTAAAAGTTGCTGTTTTCTCTCCTTCAGCTATGTCACAGCCTCGAAAATGCTCCTGCTTTGCAAAGGTCTGCAGCTGGTGACAGCCGAGAACCAATGGACAGTAACTGTGCAGAAAGTGAAGGAATTAGTTGCAGCTCTTTGTTCAGCCATGGACCGCAAATTTCTGCGGATGGAGTACAACACTGTCCTTTCAGAAACTACCTTATTGGATCCAAGGTTTAAAAAACTTGCCTTCAGTGATCGTAGAGCTGTTGATGAAGCTCTTCAGAGGATTAGTGCAGCAGCAGCAGCAAAATGCACCCCCAGCAGCCAGCCAGCTCCACCATTACAGGGCCAAGTGGAGGAGGAGCAGCAAACCTCTGCTGTTTGGAGGCTTTTTGATGACAGAGCTACAGGAGATGCTTCAAGGAGAAATCCGACAGCTGATGCTATAATGGAGGTGAGGAGCTACCTTGAGGAGCCCCTCATCCAGAGAGCAGAAGACCCACTGAGCTGGTGGCAGGCCAAGGCCTCAGTCTTTCCACTCCTGGTGAAGGTGATGGAGGGGAGACTATGTATTGTTGCCACATCAGTTCCTTCTGAGAGAATCTTCTCCAAAACAGGGCAGATACTCACGGAGAGGCGAAATCGTATCAGGCCTATCAGCCCATCCAAGCTGAGGCATCTGATCTTCCTGAATGCCAACCTGCCCTGAGGACTAATGCTGTTTGCTGGAGTTTGGTTCTGGTTTTGATTCTGTTCTGTGGATTTGTTTGAAGTTTATTGTTAATTTGTGCAATAAAAAAGTTTAATTGAAATAAACAAATGTAAGAGTGGTTTTGTCACAGAATAAATGCACAGAATTAGGCATTATAAGGTCTCTCATAAAAACACTGAAAGCAAAAGGGTTTTCAACACATAAACCATGATTTTTTTTCAAAGTTAAGGTAAAATATAGGCTACAAAAGATCCTAAATAAAGAGCCGTTCGGGAGTCGAAAGAGCCGGCTCTTCTTTGGGAGCCGAGTCAAAAGAGCCGGCTCTCAGAAAAGAGCCGAACTTCCCATCATTAGAACTTACTGGTCGGTGTTCAAGGCATTCCGAGTCTATCACCAAACATTTCCGTAGAAAATCCAACCGTAAAGGCTTAAAGGCTTGCGCACCCTTTTTTTTTTTTTATTCGTGTTGCGCTGTTGGCGGTAGGTGCGCTTGATTCAGAAGCCCTGCGCACCGGGTAAGCAAAGTGTTCCCATTTTGAACCATTTTAATTTGTCTGAAAAGACAATCTCCGCCTACCCGGGAGATCTGTGGTAAATCGAGTGCGCTTACTGCGCTGGCCAATCGGATAGCTGAAATCACCGTGCTTACAGAGCTTCCACCGCCACAGCAAAGTTTGGAACTTGCCTAAGTAAGATGAAATAACTTTTAAAACCATGACCACAGAGAGACTGTCCAAGAAAACAGCAAAGAGCTGCAGTTTAAATGAGTGAGTTCATGTTTAAGTTTTTATTCAGCACTGTCAACACTGTTTTTATTCAACACAAAACATAAAACGCGCCTCTCCGTACCCACTTCCGCTGCAGCTGCAATGAATGAGTAGCCAAGCGTATCCATAGCCCTGCGTTTTTATTATTATTAGCAGCTCGTCGTGTTTATTTTAATATCGAGGAATATTTCACATTCTCTGGTCATAGGAACAACATGCATTTGTGCATTAGGCAGATGCGGTGCGACTCGAGTTACGCCACCAGGTGGAAGACTGTGGTCCCTCTGGTCAGTCTCACCGGAGGAAAGGAAGGAGAGCGCAGGGAAGGTGGACGGCGGGCCCTCTGCTGCTCTCTCCCTCCCTCTGCTGAGACTAATGCCGTGTTCAAAACAATCTCCTACTTCCGACTTCAATGTGTTCCAGACAACTGGTAACTCGCAGGGGAAAAAACGAGATCCGACTATGAAAAATCAATCAAGTAGGAAACTCAGGTATCTTTCTAGAGCGACGTTCCGACCTGAAGATCACTGACGTCATGATTTGACAAAAAAATTAATCCAGAGTTCCCAATTGTCTTGAAAGCACCATGACCATCAGATACAGATACAACACCATCAGTCCAGTAAAATAAAAAAAGCAAATTATTTCAATTTATGCTCTGCAGTGCCTCGCAAATGCTACACCAACTGATCTATATTTATTTTATGTGATCAAAGCTCGAGTTTTTTGTGTACCTTTTTTTTCTGACTTTTTTAATAATTATTTTTTGCAAATATTTACTTACTTTTTTTTTTTTAATTCTGCATTGTTGGTTAAGGGCTTGTAAGTAAGCATTTCACTGTAAAGTCTACACCTGTTGTATTTGGCGCATGTGACAAATAAAATGTGATTTGATTGGAGTTTTGAAATAATAATATGGTCTGAGATTAACAATATTGGCAGGCCAGGCATATAGCCAATATGCTGTGATAATGTATTAGGTCTACTGCCCAAACCTCATTCCTACAGAACTTTCTTTATTAGGTTAATGTTATTTATTTTTTTATTTTTTTATCTGAGTGGTGGATCTCGGCTTTCTTTTTGACTGCAAAAGTGACCTTGACTCAGAAAAGGTTGGTGACCGCTGGTGTATGAGATCTGTCTGAACCCAAAGCAGGACCTAACTACTGTATGGTGATCTTTACTAAACCAGGTGAACTACCGTGGCCGCAAGGAGAAGCTGGTCAGAGTGCGTAACCCCTGGGGAACAGTGGAGTGGACTGGGGCCTGGAGTGACAAGTAAGAGAGAACCTCAGAGCACTGGGTGGGGTCAATTCCATTTCAGTTCAGTTCATTTTTGGAAGTAAACTGAGGAAAATGGAATTGGAATTTCAACTTGCTTGATTGAATTCAATCAACCCTGGTGGTTACCACACACTTGCTAAATAAACGGTGGTTCTTCTCTCTCTCTCTCTGTCTCTCTGTCTCTCTCTCTCGCTCTCTATCTCTCTCTCTCTCGCTCTCTCTCTCTCTGTCTCTCTCTCGTCTCTCTCTCGTCTCTATCTCTCTCTCTCTCTCTCTCTCTCTCTCTCTCTCTCTCTCTCTCTCTCTAGCTCCTCTGAATGGAACAGTGTAGATGATTCTGAGCGGGACGTTGTGAAGGCAGACGATGGAGAGTTCTGGTAAAGTGGCTTCTACAGCACTCAAAGGGCCAGCCCATAATTATATCCCAAGTACTTGTTCTATTTGAATAATTTATTATTACAGTCACTTAAGCAATAAAAGTTGTAATCTCATTATCTTAAGTATCTGTTTGATCAAGGTTGTGTGGGTTTAAGCCAAGGCGTGCCTGGGTTTAACCATGTGAATCATGTCAGAACAGATTACCTGTGTTGCTTTGTGTTGTGAAATACATACATTTTTACAGACAGCCAAATCTGGTTATGGCTTCGAGAATATTTAAATGCCAATGTCATTTCTGTTTTGTGGTGTGTTTGTGATCTGTTCCAACTGTGTTCTGTTTCACAGGTTGTATTTCACAGACTGTGTGTTAATACAGTTGAAGTCGGAAGTTTACATACACTTAGGTTGGAGTCATTAAAACTCGTTTTTCAACCACTCCACACATTTCTTGTTAACAAACTATAGTTTTGGCAAGTCGGTTAGGACATCTACTTTGTGCATGACACAAGTAATTTTTCCAACAATTGTTTACAGACAGATTATTTCACTTATAATTCACTGTATCACAATTTCAGTGGGTCAGAAGTTTACATACACTAAGTTGACTGTGCCTTTAAACAGCTTGGAAAATTCCAGAAAATGATGTCATGGCTTTAGAAGCTTCTGATAGGCTAATTGACATCATTTGTGTCAATTGGAGGTGTACCTGTGGATGTATTTCAAGGCCTACCTTCACACCCAGTGCCTCTTTGCTTGACATCATGGGAAAATCAAAAGAAATCAACCAAGACCTCAGAAAAACAATTGTAGACCTCCACAAGTCTGGTTCATCCTTGGGAGCAATTACCAAACACCTAAAGGTACCACGTTCATCTGTACAAACAATAGTACGCAAGTATAAACACCATGGGACCACGCAGCTGTCATACCGCTCAGGAAGGAGACGCGTTCTGATGAACGTACTTTGGTGCGAAAAGTGCAAATAAATCCCAGAACAACAGCAAAGGACCTTGTGAAGATGCTGGAGGAAACAGGTACAAAAGTATCTATATCCACAGTAAAACGAGTCCTATATCAACATAACCTGAAAGGCTGCTCAGCAAGGAAGAAGCCACTGCTCCAAAACCGCCATAAGAAAGCCAGACTACGGTTTGCAACTGCACATGGGGACAAAGATCGTACTTTTTGGAGAAATGTCCTCTGGTCTGATGAAACAAAAATAGAACTGTTTGGCCATAATGACCATCGTTATGTTTGGAGGAAAAAGGGGGTGCTTGCAAGCCGAAGATCACTATCCCAACCGTGAAACACGGGGGTGGCAGCATCGTGCTGTGGGGGTGCTTTGCTGCAGGAGGGACTGGTGGACTTCACAAAATAGATGGCATCATGAGGAAGGAAAATTATGTGGATATATTGAAGCAACATCTCAAGACATCAGTCAGGAAGTTAAAGCTTGGTCAAAAATGGGTCTTGCAGATGGACAATGACCCCAAGCATACTTCCAAAGTTGTGGCAAAATGGCTTAAGGACAACAAAGTCAAGGTATTGGAGTGGCCATCACAAAACCCTGACCTCAATCCTATAGAAAATGTGTGGGCAGAACTGAAAAAGCGTGTGCGAGCAAGGAGGCCTACAAAACTGACTCAGTTATACCAGCTCTGTCAGGAGGAATGGACCAAAATTCACCCAACTTATTGTGGGAAGCTTGTGGAAGGCTACCCGAAACCTTTGACACAAGTTAAACAATTTAAAGGCAATGCTAGCAAATACTAATTGAGTGTATGTTAACTTCTGACCCCACTGGGAATGTGATGAAAGAAATAAAAGCTGAAATAAATCATTCTCTCTACTATCATTGTGACATTTTCACATTCTTAAAATAAAGTGGTGAGCCTAACTGACCTAAGACAGGGAATTTTTACCTGGAAAAACTGAGTTTAAATGCATTTGGCCAAGGTGTATGTAAACTTCCGACTTCAACTGTATATACAATATAATATAAATGGCGTTTTGCTGATGTGTCCCCAGGCTATTGGTATAATATAAATGGCGTTTTGCTGATGTGTCCCCAGGCTATTGGTATAATATAAATGGCGTTTTGCTGATGTGTCCCCAGGCTATTGGTATAATATAAATGGCGTTTTGCTGATGTGTCCCCAGGCTATTGGTATAATATAAATGGCGTTTTGCTGATGTGTCCCCAGGCTATTGGTATAATATAAATGGCGTTTTGCTGATGTGTCCCCAGGCTATTGGTATAATATAAATGGCGTTTTGCTGATGTGTCCCCAGGCTATTGCGCACGGCGTCCTCAGTGGGAGGGACTAAAGAATTCTACCTTGGAATTCTATGGTCACTCCCACCTTTCTAAGGAAAGTATTTGTCATCATTTAATTTAGCGAATCACACGACTGCGAGGCGTCGCTCCAAATGGAGGCGAGACACAACACGTATGGGGGAGGGTTAGGGGGAAGGTGTTGTGGGAAATGATTGGTTGGTAGATTAAGCTGATTTAAGACAATGCAAATGAGCTGGGAGTTTCTCTCTGTCTTTCTGTTTGCTAACGAAGGCCAAGTTTCAAATGAAACACCAGTGAAATGCTGGTACCAAGTCAATGTGCAGGGATACCAGGTAGTAACGAGGCTATATACAAGGAGTACCAGTACTGAGTCAATGTGCATGGGTACGAGGTAGTTGAGGTAATTGACGTAACATGTACATGTAGGTCGGGGTAAAAGTGACTAGTCAATCAGGATAGATAATAAACAGAGTAGCAGCAGTGTTGGTAGTTGAGGTAATATGTACATGTAGGTAGGGGTAAAAGAGACTAGTCAATCAGGATAGATAATAAACAGAGTAGCAGCAGTGTTGGTAGTTGAGATAATATGTACATGTAGGTAGGGGTAAAAGTGACTAGTCAATCAGGATAGATAATAAACAGAGTAGCAGCAGTGTTGGTAGTTGAGGTAATATGTACATGTAGGTTGGGGTAAAAGTGACTAGTCAATCAGGATAGATAATAAACAGAGTAGCAGCAGTGTTGGTAGTTGAGGTAATATGTATACGTAGGTAGGGGTAAAAGTGACTAGTCAATCAGGATAGAAAATAAACAGAGTAGCAGCAGCATATATGATGTGTGTGAAAGTGTGTGTGTGTGTGGCATTAGTATTCATGTGTATGCGTGTTATGTGTGTGTGAGCGTATGTAGTGTGTGTGGTTTGACCCGTTGGTCCACCAGGCTCTTCGTGCATATGGGTGTCGGAAGTGTCTGGGAATGAGATGACCATTTAGAACATACTTTTATCCAAAGAGACTTATCGAACCCACTATCCTGGCATTACAAGTGCCATGCTTTATCAACTGAGTTTGATTTGTGTGTTAAAGAATAAAAGTTTACCCACTTTGCTTACATGTCTTTACAGGATGTCCTTCTCTGACTTGGTGTTGCTTCCTGTCTTTACAGGATGTCCTTCTCTGACTTGGTGTTGCTTCATGTTCTTGTCTTTACAGGATGTCCTTCTCTGACTTGGTCTTGCTTCCTGTCTTTACAGGATGTTCTTCTCTGACTTGGTGTTGCTTCCTGTCTTTACAGGATGTTCTTCTCTGACTTGGTGTTGCTTCATGTCTTTACAGGATGTCCTTCTCTGACTTGGTGTTGCTTCATGTCTTTACAGGATGTCCTTCTCTGACTTGGTCTTGCTTCCTGTCTTTACAGGATGTTCTTCTCTGACTTGGTGTTGCTTCCTGTCTTTACAGGATGTTCTTCTCTGACTTGGTGTTGCTTCATGTCTTTACAGGATTCCTTCTCTGACTTGTGTTGCTTTCATGTTTTTTACAGGATGTGCTTCTCTGACTTGGTGTTGCTTCATGTCTTTACAGGATGTCCTTCTCTGACTTGGTGTTGCTTCCTGTCTTTACAGGATGTCCTTCTCTGACTTGGTGTTTCTTCATGTTTTTACAGGATGTCCTTCTCTGACTTGGTGTTGCTTCCTGTCTTTACAGGATGTTCTTCTCTGACTTGGTGTTGCTTCCTGTCTTTACAGGATGTCCTTCTCTGACTTGGTGTTTCTTCATGTTTTTACAGGATGTCCTTCTCTGACTTGGTGTTTCTTCATGTTTTTACAGGATGTCCTTCTCTGACTTGGTGTTGCTTCCTGTCTTTACAGGATGTTCTTCTCTGACTTGGTGTTGCTTCCTGTCTTTACAGGATGTCGTTCACAGACTTCATGAAGAATTACCAACGTCTGGAGATCTGCACTCTGACCCCTGACACCCTGACCTCAGATGATACCAAACAATGGAGTGTGTCCAACTACAACGGGGCCTGGAGGAAAGGGTCGACCGCTGGAGGATGCAGGAATAATCCCTGTAACGCATGCCCCCCCCCCCCCCCCCCCACACACACACACACACACATACACACACACATACACACACACACACACACCACAGGCGGCCGCTAAGGGAGGACAGTTCATAATAATGTCTGGAATGGAGTAAATGGAATGGCATCAAACACCTGGAAACCATTCCATTAATTCCGTTCCAGCCATTACTATGAGCCCGTCCTCCCCAATTAAGGTGCCACCAACCTCCTGTGACACACAAAGGCAGCTTCCTCAGCCAATGGAAATTGAGTCTTTATGTCAATCATCAGGCTAAATCCATGCAGTGGATTCTAACCTCTCCCTCAACCCAACCCTCATATTGACCCTGGTCAATCTCGACTCCCACAGATACTCCCCCAGATACCTTTTTTTTAAAAAGACCACAAACACACCTCAACCATACACTACTACTCTCCTTCATAATAACCCTGGCCAATCCCCCCCTTTCCCCCACAGACACGTTCTGGATGAATCCCCAGTTCAAGATCAAGCTGGAGGAAGAGGATGACGACCCAGGCGATGATGTGGTCGGCTGTAGCTTTGTGGTGGGACTCATCCAGAAGAACAGGAGACGGATGAGGAAAGCAGGAGAGGACATGCTCACCATCGGGTTCGCCATCTATGAGGTGGGGCTCGGGGCATCACCCACAATACACTGGACATAGTCTGCTCTCAGATATGTTGTCTCCTTCTATGGTCTGGTCCCAGATCTGTTGTCTCCTTCTATGGTCTGGTCCCAGATCTGTTGTCTCCTTCTATAGCCTGGTCCCAGATCTGTTGTCTCCTTCTATAGCCTGGTCCCAGATCTGTTGTCTCCTTCTATGGTCTGGTCCCAGATCTGTTGACTCCTTCTATAGCCTGGTCCCAGATCTGTTGTCTCCTTCTATGGTCTGCTCTCAGATCTGTTGTCTCCTTCTATGGTCTGCTCTCAGATCTGTTGTCTCCTTCTATAGCCTGGTCCCAGATATGTTGTCTCCTTCTATGGTCTGCTCCCAGATCTGTTTGTGCTCTTGCCAATCAATCAATCAAATACATTTTATGACGTCCTGTTTACGTCAGCAGTTGTCACAAAGTGCATTGCAGAAACCCAGCCTAAAACCCCAGAGAGCAAGCAATGCAGAGGCAGAAGTTAACTCCATTGCTGTCCATGTCAAGCCTTGTCAGGATAAACAGACCAGCAGACCGGCTATATTAAACCCACTACTGTCAGATGAATCCATAGCTGATACCAGTCCAGTTTATTATATAAGTTTATACCTGTTACTTTTATGTGATTTATACTATATTAAAATATATGCCATTTAGCAAACACTTTTATCCAAAGTGTCTTAGTCATGTGTGCATATATTTTAAGCATTGGTGGTCCCCGGAATCAAATTCTGGCATTGCAAGCACCATGCTCTACCAACTGAGCTACAGAAGATCACCATCTGGTTGTGGCTGATGTAACATTAACATTATATATGATGTGGCTGATGTAACATTATATATGATGTGGCTGATGTAACATTGTATATGATGTGGCTGGTGTAATGTTAACATGATATATGATGTGGCTGATGTAATGTTAACATGATATATGATGTGGCTGATGTAACGTTAACATTATATATGATGTGGCTGATGTAACGTTAACATGATATATGATGTGGCTGATGTGACATTAACATTATATATGATGTGGCTGATGTAACATTAACATTATATATGATGTGGCTGATGTAACATTAACATTATATATGATGTGGCTGATGTAATATTAACATTATATGTGTTGTGGCTGATGTAACATTAACATTATATGTGATGTGGCTGATGTAACATTATATATGATGTGGCTGATGTAACATTATATATGATGTGGCTGATGTAACATTATATATGATGTGGCTGATGTAACATTATATATGATGTGGCTGATGTAACATTATATGTGATGTGGCTGATGTAACATTAACATTATATATGATGTGGCTGATGTAACGTTAACATTATATGTGATGTGGCTGATGTAATATTATATGTGATTTGGCTGATGTAACATTATGTGATGTGGCTGATGTAATATTAACATTATATATGATGTGGCTGATGTAATATTAACATTATATATGATGGGGCTGATGTAACATTAACATTATATGTGATGTGGCTGATGTAACATTAACATTATATGATGTGGCTGATGTAACATTATATATGATGTGGCTGATGTAACATTAACATTATATGATGTGGCTGATGTAACATTATATATGATGTGGCTGATGTAATATTAACATTATATGATGTGGCTGATGTAACATTAACATGATATATGATGTGGCTGATGTAACATTAACATTATATATGATGTGGCTGATGTAACATTAACATTATATGTGATGTGGCTGATGTAACATTATATATGATGTGGCTGATGTAACATTATATATGATGTGGCTGATGTAACATTAACATTATGTGATGTGGTTGATGTAACATTAACATTATATGATGTGGCATATGTAACATTATATGTGATGTGGCTGATGTAATATTAACATTATATATGATGTGGCTGATGTAATATTAACATTATATGATGTGGCTGATGTAACGTTAACATTATATATGATGTGGCTGATGTAACGTTAACATTATATATGATGTGGCTGATGTAACGTTAACATTATATATGATGTGGCTGATGTAATATTAACATGATATATGATGTGGCTGATGTAACATTAACATTATATATGATGTGGCTGATGTAACGTTAACATTATATATGATGTGGCTGATGTAACGTTAACATTATATGTGATGTGGCTGATGTAATATTAACATTATATATGATGTGGCTGATGTAATATTAACATGATATATGATGTGGCTGACGTAACATTAACATTATATATGATGTGGCTGATGTAACATTAACATTATATATGATATGGCTGATGTAACGTTAACATTATATATGATGTGGCTGATGTAACATTAACATTATATATGATGTGGCTGATGTAACATTAACATTATATATGATGTGGCTGATGTAACATTATATGTAATGTGGCTGATGAAACATTAACATTATATATGATGTGGCTGATGTAACATTATATATGATGTTGCTGATGTAACATTATATATGATGTGGCTGATGTAATGTTAACATTATATATGATGTGGCTGATGTAACATTATATATGATGTGGGTGATGTAATATTAACATTATATATGATGTGGCTGATGTAACATTAACATTATATGATGTGGCTGATGTAACATTATATGTGATGTGGCTGATGTAATATTAACATTATATATGATGTGGCTGATGTAATATTAACATTATATATGATGTGGCTGATGTAACATTAACATTATATGTGTTGTGGCTGATGTAACATTAACATCATATGATGTGGCTGATGTAACATTATATATGATGTGGCTGATGTAACATTAACATTATATGATGTTGCTGATGTAACATTATATATGATGTGGCTGATGTAATATTAACATTATATGATGTGGCTGATGTAACATTAACATTATATGTGATGTGGCTGATATAACATTAACATTATATGTGATGTGGCTGATGTAACATTAACATTATATATGATGTGGCTGATGTAACATTAACATTATATATGATGTGGCTGATGTAACATTATATGTAATGTGGCTGATGAAACATTAACATTATATATGATGTGGCTGATGTAACATTATATATGATGTTGCTGATGTAACATTATATATGATGTGGCTGATGTAACGTTAACATTATATATTATCTGGCTGATGTAACATTATATGTGTTGTGGCTGATGTAACATTAACATTATATGATGTGGCTGATGTAACATTATATGTGATGATGTGGCTGATGTAATATTAACATTATATATGATGTGGCTGATGTAATATTAACATTATATATGATGTGGCTGATGTAACATTAACATTATATGTGTTGGGGCTGATGTAACATTAACATCATATGATGTGGCTGATGTAACATTATATATGATGTGGCTGATGTAATATTAACATTATATGATGTGGCTGATGTAACATTATACAGTGGGGAGAACAAGTATTTGATACACTGCCGATTTTGCAGGTTTTCCTACTTACAAAGCATGTAGAGGTCTGTAATTTTTATCATAGGTACACTTCAACTGTGAGAGACGGAATCTAAAACAAAAATCCAGAAAATCACATTGTATGATTTTTAAGTAATTAATTTGCATTTTATTGCATGACATAAGTATTTGATACATCAGAAAAGCAGAACTTAATATTTGGTACAGAAACCTTTGTTTGCAATTACAGAGATCATACGTTTCCTGTAGGTCTTGACCAGGTTTGCACACACTGCAGCAGGGATTTTGGCCCACTCCTCCATACAGACCTTCTCCAGATCCTTCAGGTTTCGGGGCTGTCGCTGGGCAATACGGACTTTCAGCTCCCTCCAAAGATTTTCTATTGGGTTCAGGTCTGGAGACTGGCTAGGCCACTCCAGGACCTTGAGATGCTTCTTACGAAGCCACTCCTTAGTTGCCCTGGCTGTGTGTTTCGGGTCGTTGTCATGCTGGAAGACCCAGCCACGACCCATCTTCAATGTTCTTACTGAGGGAAGGAGGTTGTTGGCCAAGATCTCGCGATACATGGCCCCATCCATCCTCCCCTCAATACAGTGCAGTCGTCCTGTCCCCTTTGCAGAAAAGCATCCCCAAAGAATGATGTTTCCACCGCCATGCTTCACGGTTGGGATGGTGTTCTTGGGGTTGTACTCATCCTTCTTCTTCTTCCAAACACGGCGAGTGGAGTTTAGACCAAAAAGCTATATTTTTGTCTCATCAGACCACATGACCTTCTCCCATTCCTCCTCTGGATCATCCAGATGGTCATTGGCAAACTTCAGACGGGCCTGGACATGCGCTGGCTTGAGCAGGGGGACCTTGCGTGCGCTGCAGTATTTTAATCCATGACGGCGTAGTGTGTTACTAATGGTTTTCTTTGAGACTGTGGTCCCAGCTCTCTTCAGGTCATTGACCAGGTGCTGCCGTATAGTTCTGGGCTGATCCCTTACCTTCCTCATGATCATTGATGCCCCACGAGGTGAGATCTTGCATGGAGCCCCAGACCGAGGGTGATTGACCGTCATCTTGAACTTCTTCCATTTTCTAATAATTGCGTCAACAGTTGTTGCCTTCTCACCAAGCTGCTTGCCTATTGTCCTGTAGCCCATCCCAGCCTTGTGCAGGTCTACAATTTTATCCCTGATGTCCTTACACAGCTCTCTGGTCTTGGCCATTGTGGAGAGGTTGGAGTCTGTTTGATTGAGTGTGTGGACAGGTGTCTTTTATACAGGTAACGAGTTCAAACAGGTGCAGTTAATATAGGTAATGAGTGGAGAACAGGAGGGCTTCTTAAAGAAAAGCTAACAGGTCTGTGAGAGCCGGAATTCTTACTGGTTGGTAGGTGATCAAATACTTATGTCATGCAATAAAATGCAAATTAATTACTTAAAAATCATACAATGTGATTTTCTGGATTTTTGTTTTAGATTCCGTCTCTCACAGTTGAAGTGTACCTATGATAAAAATTACAGACCTCTACATGCTTTGTAAGTAGGAAAACCTGCAAAATCGG